CTGCCGACGACATCATCCGCTGCTGGCAACATCATCCGCTGCTGTCAATATCCTATGAAGCATTGCGTTGATAGCAATGCGTGCGCTAACATACAAGTAGAATCCTCGTGCGATAATTATCATAATAATCAGATTGAACAGATCTTTTGCCTCCGCTCTAATAATAGTTTTAAGAATGTGAATTAATAGATACCAAAATAAAAGGTGATAGCTTTGTTGTTTTCCTTATCGGCGCATTCCGTTTTCTTTGTTTTTTAACCAGCTATTTTCTCTATACACACAACAAAATTAAAGATTCCAATGCTAAGACTGGTAATCATAATAGTACTTGGACATTCTATTCTGCTATGGATTCTTTATTTGGTGACAAAGGCTGGGTCTCTCCTCCAGCTGTAGCAAGCAGCGAGGGGCCAGCTACACCAAGTACATCAATATCGTCATGTCCTTCACCACTCACATCACAATCTCCATCTATGGATAACTTTGAATGTCAGGATATCTCTTCCTGTAAACCCAAAAAAAGGAAAGTAGAAATAATCTTGGAGTCTTTCATAACAGATTTAAAAAATAATAAGGATCAGTTAAAAGAAGAAAGAAGAAAAGAATTATTGGAAAGAGAAGAGAAACGGCTAGAAAGATGGAAAATCAATAGAGCAGAAAGAAAACAGATGCACAAGGAAACCTCGGAAATTCAAAAGTCCCTTGTTAATGTTCTACAACAACTCGTAGGACAACAAAGTAATCCTAAGTAGAATACACGACAGTATGATTAAAATAACGTAAAAAAACTCCAAAATAATTACTAAGTCATTTTTTCATGAATTACGATTAATTTTAAGATTATTTTAACTATTAAATTAATTATTTTAAGTCATCATAACTTGCTGTTTTGTTTGGGATTTCAAATAACTTTTTAAATATAATCTTTTATGTAATACAATCTTAATGTAAATAACTTACTCTGATATTTTAACAGTATTTTCGCAGTATTAAATATTTTCTTGACATTATTTTCTTATTATTTTTTTATATGCATGTTTCTTTGTAAATCAATTCTATAAAGTTCCTATAAAGTAGAGTTCTTTGTATTTGTAGTTACTATTAATACTCGAAGTATCCAATTACAGAATATTTTATTTTTTTATGTATTAAAGATGTGCCAAAAATGTGTAATCAATAAGTATAAGTTAATTTATTCTTCTAAATGTAAGAAAACCATTGAGTAATGGTTTAAACCGTCCAAACTCGAATATAAAGTCTATTAAAATAAAATAAAAAACATATTTCTGTAAGTTTGTTACATTTATTTTTAAATAAATTGCTTCTGATATGTTGTGTAATTTTATTTTATTTTGATGTACATGTTGTGTTTAAGGAGAATTTTATTGTTTTTTTACAAAAATAAGATATAAGATACCATATACTTAGGAAATTAATTATATTTCTAATTAAACATTTAAGCGCAAAATTACAATATAAAATTAGGCTACAATTATATAACTTTCCAAACAGAAAAAACGGCAAAATTATTGTTCCAATTCTTTTTGGCGAAAAAGAATTATACAGGGTCTTCTTATAACCTAAGACTTATAATCAATTTTACAATATAGTATTAACTTACAAATTTATAATATAGTATTAACTTAATATTTATAATGCCCAACAACTGTTATCAAATTACGTATGATGTTAGTCTCTAGCCCACATTCTTAGTTCATACATAATTCTATTTCTTTTAATATTGCCTAATTCAACCCCAGCTTCTATATCAGGTACAGCATTTTCAGCATTTGAATATATCGCAACTGGAAACTCGTCATTTTGTAATATGCAGATGTTATGAAGAGTGCAACAAGCTAATATAGTTTCTGGTATCTTTTTTATATCAGTTAATGGTAAACAATCCAATAAAATACGAAATCGTATTTTTAATGCTGCAAAAGCTTGTTCTATGCGTATTCGAGTTGACGACAAGCAAAAATTGAAATTTTTTTGACGTGCTGTAAGATGACCATTATCCCTAAATGGAACCATCACATAGGGATGAATCGCATATGCAGAATCTGCTACAATGTGAGTGTCTAATGGAAAATACTCATTTGGTGCCTCAATGTAATGAGCGAGTGGAGAATTTCTAAATACTCTTGAATCATGTACTGAGCCAACAGGCCCTGCATAGCAATGAGTGAATAGGCGTTTTGCATCACATACAGCTTGCAAGTGAATTGCATGAAACTGTTTTCTACATATGTACGAAGCAGCATCTTTTGTTTTAGCTCTAATTTTGATATACGATCCATCAAGGGCTCCAATTACGTTAGGAAAACCTCTTGTTTTTGAAAATTCTTCAATAGTGCGATTTAGTACTTCACCTTTTGGCCATTGAATAAATCTTGGTGCCAGACAATGAACAGCATAGGTGACGCGCCTTATTACTCTAAATGCTGTTGCTTTTCCAACACCAAATTGAACATGTATGGATCTGTTAAAAGAAATGTGCTATATATTTTTAATAATTAAAAATTTTTATATAAGGTTTAATGAATTAAATCAAAATTAGAATTAAAATACCTCTAAAGGCTGACACAAGATATTGTTGTGCACTTAATTTATTCAATGTAACTACAACAAAAACATACATTTCGACTTACGGTTAGGACTCACTTCCTATCAATGTTTATAATTAGCGATATAAAAAAGAATGATCAATAATTAATAAATATACGCTTCATGGTTATAAAAATCGATATAAATTTAAAACAATGGTTACAATTTCACTTGGATATCATAACAAGCTGTGGATATGCTGCTTAGACTCTTATTTATAAAGTCGTGTCATAGCTTAAATATTAGTCCAATCAGTAGTTTACATTGATTATCGATTTTTATAACTATCAGGGGGATATATTTATTAATTATTGATCATTCATTTTATATCGTTAATTATAAACATTGATAGAGACCCTAACCATGAATTGAAATATATGTTTTTATTGTAGTTAAATGAACAAATAAATTGCACAACAATATCTTTTATGATGGCTTTTAAAGGCTCTTATAGACATTTTAGTTGTAATCTATATAGTTTTACAATAACACAACAAATATTAGTTTATAAGAATAAAAGCAAATACCTGTAAGAATCTGGTGTAGCTAAAAACCATAATGTTATCAACAGTTGTTTTCCTGGATGTATTGATTTTCTCCCCATTACATTGATTCTATATAAAGCTGGTCCAATCATATGTAAAATCATTTCATATGTCTCAGGAAACATCCTACTAGAAAAAGAGGTTAACTTCTTATGTAATAATTTGACAATATTAAATATCGTTTGCAACTTACTTGAAATGTTCTTTGAATTGTTGTCGTGAATATCCTGATACAACTCGTTAAACGTAATCTGTTAACTTTTCACGAGGAACATTCACTCCTCTCGTATGTCCAATCATAAGAATAGCATATAAAGTTGAAATATCAGTTTCTTCGGTTTCTTCATCAAATGAATTTTCAAGTGAATCACAACTGCTTGAAAAATATAAATCTTCTTTTGTAAAAAAAAAAGATGTAACACTAATTATTGAATGCATTTGTAATTTAGTCAATTTTAAATTGTCGTCCATGTTCATCAATGCATGAATTCACTGCGAATCCGTTCCGTTACTAAAATCGCATAGAGTGTATTGGAGAAATGGAACGTACTCTGCACTCCATGCCATGCATTAAATACTCATGCGCTTCATCCAAGAAACGGAACGCACCCTAGTGATTTCGTCGGAGTTCGAGCTTTGCTTTAGGATCCCCTTAAGGCAAGTATGCTTTCGTGAGAATTTCGCATTTAAATGTATTTGCGCGCGCTGTGTTTCACGGCATCCGTCGCGATCACGAGTTTCCTTTCTTTACCGAGCGCCATCTTTCGTTTTTCATCGCGCGCCACCTTCTCGTTTTCACCGCGCGCCCCCTCCTTTTCGTTTCCGTTATTATTATGTGTGTGCTGTGTCTTTGTATGTCCGTCGAGATCTCGTGCGGCCTGCTCGCATCGATAGCTATTCTTTACAATAAAACTCTTTTATATCTCCAAGTGCTAACCGACTTGTTGTTCTTCCACCCAGCCCACAACGTCATCAGTCGACTAAAAAGTCGCGCACAGACTCTAAGATTTTTATGAAGTGGAACCTATTTAACGTATAAAACTTTGTATACATGATGAAACCGTATATATGACTGAATGACTGACTGACTGACTGACTGACTGAATATAGACTGTGAAAGTAATAACGAATAGACTGCGAAAATGGCTGACTGATTAATGCCCGATTTCTTCACTTCCAGATAAGTTGCGGACAACCTTATCCAGGAGATATCTCCATTGTATTCTGGGAGATATCTTTCGGATAAAGTTATCTAGAGGTGAAGAATTTGGGCATAAGAAACAGAACCGGACACGGAATAAGAACAAAAAAGTAATGAGAGCGTGTCTCGCAGTGTCACGGTTTATATAGATAGTTTCGGAGGGTGGTTGTCTGATAGGACGTGGTTGGAAAATCGGGGATTTGGGTTGGAAGGATTTTTTTGCTTTTGATAGGAGATTTGTTTTTCGTGTTCCTACTAGCTAACTATTTCCAAAATTTGCTCTGCCCGCACTGCAAGTTTCAATCCCTTGAGAACTTATTGGTGATACGTCATTACCTTCTCTAGATTTTCAGATCTATGGTCACGAATTGGCGAGTTTAGTTTAAGCTTTTCTTTCTGAAGAGAGGGGGTATTTCACTCATCGTTCCTTCCGAACGACCCAGCAACGACAATTCAAAAACTCACATTCTCCTTTTTTTTTCTTCTCTCCGATTTCTCTATTCTTAAATACTAGGAAACGTGCGTTTCCTCGTCTAGACAGTATTTGCTCCAAATTTTATGATCGTCAGTAAAAAATTAAAATCTACTCCTGTCGGGGTGATCCCGATTGACCACGGCTCGATTGGACACCACCAATCACAGCGACCGGTGCTTAGGAGCTTTGTAGTCTCAAGCGCTGTGAGTGGCTCGTGTCCAATTGAGCCCTGTCCAACTGGGTGCCACCCCTCCTATCATGCTATATTTATTTTATTGCTTCCTGTTGTTGACGAGAAAACACCCTTCAACGATGTTACGTATTAGGAAATGCGACTTTCTATTTACTCAGAATCCCCGATTTGCATTTAAATATTATTCACTGAGACTGAACGTGCTTAAACCGAACTTTCTCGACATGGTTTGTAATACTGTTATAAATTTTATTACCGTAAGTCGGGCGATTCTGATGGGTATTTGTATCTTTGCCATCTTTCCAAAATCGTTGGGAAGGTTTTCAACGACACATTTCTTAAATATTGTCACGCTCGCCGACCTGTGACCGTTAAAGCTCACAATTTCTTCTCGCGCCTTCTCCCAGCGATCACCTTGTTAAGTGTTCGCAAAACGAGGAAATCGTAGAGTCCTCCCGGACGTAACAATATTATAAAAATGTATTTAACACTATTCAGATGGATTTATTAGATCGCATTTAGACCCAACATTATCAGAATTTGGATTTACGTTAACCTTAGCACACTCCAACAGTTCAATAATTGTGCTAATCAACGTAGGTCGAGCAAATATGCTGTGTTCTTTTGTGTCGTACGTGTTGTATCCTGTAGTAAAGTGGAACGAAGTGATATGTGTCATAACGAGAAAACGTCTTCTCTTGTCTATCAATGTAGCTTTGAGTAGTGTATAGAAGTTATTGCAATGGGTTAATTTGAATTTCCGTATGTTATATTGCTTTGTAGTAAGTACTTGATAGCCCATAGATGATGATACATTCTGTTTCACCCATAATGCGCATGATGTTCTATTTAACCTTGTTTACATTTGATGAACTACAAAGATAACATATGCATTATTCATGAAATGGAAAGCACCCATAGTTAACAGGAAAACATTATTTGATAATAATTCTGTAAATATACATGGTGACCAACGAGAAATAAAACTAAATGATTATTTTTTCGTAACAAGTAGGCCGAAGAAAATGAATCAAACGCGACTTTGTGGAGAAAACTTATCAATTTTATTATCTCATCATATATATGAAAAAGATGTGTAATTATTTAACAATTGAAACATTACAAAGAAAGGGGCAAAAATATACTTGCGCACATGAGTCAATGATGTCACGTCCAGGCATGTCTCGTGTTCAAGTGGCATCCGATACGGATCGTGCACTCGTCAATTGCGTAAACAGAAATAACTCTCTCTTATAAACAATAAGAATCTTAATAATAGAAGTCAAGCATAATGCTGGGTTCCCACAAGACATGAACCACGAACGTAAACATAGGCGTCAGCAGAATTTTTTTATGGTGGAGGAGGCGGAGACATGAATCACAAAGTACACAAGCATGTATTTTTTGTAATATTTTAATTGTTAAATAACTATTATATTATATATATACATTGTGACCGTGTTTTCAATCGACGTGACAATTTCGTCGATTTTCTATGATCGCAATTCGACAGCCAATGACTCTACTTTCATTTTCTAATTCGGTAGCTACTCACTGAATTTCCGCGAATTCTTTCGAAATGTAAGTTGGGCACCAGGCACGAATGAGCGTGCCGCTCTTTGTTACTCTATTCAATCTCGACTAAGTATTCTGGACAATTTTACAAAACAAATAGGCAATTATTATTAAGATCTCTCTAATACGACGGACTACAACCGACCGCTCTGGCATTAGGCAAATAGGGTTTGGAGTCAGAAAATACTGGAAGTGACGAGCCACGGGGTCCCTAATTTGACAAATGGTTTACTTAATCGGCCCTTTTCAGGGCTAAAATGATGCGCAAAAGTCTGATCAGCAACCTCCTCGCGGTACGTATCGGGTAATGCTAATGCTGGCGGTATTCGTTAAAAATGCCCGAATAACTTCAAAATGGCATTACTCGATCAAAAAAAATCGTAGAGACTCGAATTTTTTTTCAAATTGTTTGTTGAAAAGTGCACTTTAAAAGTGCATCAAATTATATACTACGTATATAGTCTTCTAAAATGCGCGTCAAAATGATTCTTCGATCTTCAAATGCAAACTCTACTAAACTATCGCAGTAATATCACGAGCAAAAATTGACAGGCAGTTTGACAAATTGATGCTTTTTTTTATCTTAGAATGATCTTATGTAATGCTGATTGACATATTAAAATTCTGTAAATAATTAATTTTTATTGCGAAAAACATTATTTCGGTCGTGAGTCAAACACGGATCTCTTACATTCCGTGTGAGCATTCTAAGAGATCCGGATTCGATTAATATTTTTCGCAATAACAATTAATTATTTACAGATTTTATTATGTCACTCAGCATTATTAAAATCGTTTTAAGATGCAAAAAAACATCTAATTGATAAATTGCTAGTCAATTAACTCATGATATTACTGCGGTAGTTCGCGTTTCAAGACTGAATAACTATTATTCTTAATTATGAATAATTCACAATAAATTATATTATTATTACAAGAATAACTTTACGTACCTTTAATTTAAAAAAATATATTGTGCGCATTAACTTCTACATATTAGTCATAAAACATTTTGTCGAAGTTATTAGCTCCAATTCAAGACGACATGTCATTAAAATTATCGTAGTTAAAAAACATTCAATAAATACCTTGGGACCTAATGTAAAGACATAATATTGCAAGGATAGTTACGTTTATAGTTGATTATAATCTGTAATAATACACACGAATAAAAAAAATGCAACGAGAAGCAAGCAAGCTAATCTAGATTATCTGTGTGTTTATTCTGTCACTCAGTACTTGTTAGTTGATGTGTACGTATTTCATCCTTCAATATAAGCACCTTACATAGTAATTCTCACAAAGTTTCTAGAGGATTTGTAAAAAACTATTTCTGAAATTCTTATAAAAGGTATTAATATACGTTTGTGTCTTGTGCAGCAAGAATTAATTCAAACTACTTAGCGACGACCTGGAAACTATGACGAAAACGCTACAGACTGCATTGACACCAATAATAATTTTCGGCTCGTTCTTCGGTTTGGGTTTGTTCGAATATCCTCTTGGACATTCTAGGCCGTACATCTCTTGCTTATACGTTTTGGGCATATGGAGCTTTCTTACGTACTTCGTTTATTATCCAATATACAACTCTTTCTTTCAAATGTTTCAAATT